GTGCGGTCTGATCTGCACTCGGCTGAGAAGCTGGAGAAGCCCAGGTCTGAGATAACAGGCAGCTGCCACCAATGGCCAGTTAGCTGTGCAGAGTAGCCCGGAGGAATTCTTGTCAGCAGCCACCACCCAGTTGCCAACATCTGCTTGTCTTTAATGACCCAGCCCAGACACCATTCAAGCCAGAAGCAGTGGGCACATGAGGTTATACATCCGTCCCCACATGCCTTCATGCAGCAGCACAAATGTGCACACAGCTTACACAAGCTCATAGACCGTGCCGGCAAACACATGCACACACGCACCTGCTCGCACATGAACACAAGTGCCACACCTCTCAGTGCCTGGACTCTGTGGAGACAGCCCTGGCTCCTCACCCACGCTGTAATCCAGGAAAACTACTTCAAATAGCCCCAGAAAGTGTTTTCACTCCCTCATCTTTGTCCGATTCCCAGGGGCAGAGGAGCAGGAGGGGAGTTTTCCTTGATTCCCAGGGGCAGTTTTGGGGGGCACCCATGTGAATATGGGGGCTGCCTGGATCCCTGGGTGGCTCCCCAAAAGTTCTGCTCCTACATTTGCAGAACTGGCTGCAGACACGTGGGTGTCTAGTTCAGGGTGGCTGGGGACAGCAGGCAAAGTTTCCCCAGGGTTCAGGGCTCAGGTCCAAGAAACTACAGGCGAGAAGTGAGGAACTGCTGGCCCAAGTGCTAGCTGCCCCCAAAGCTTACTTCCCACACTAGATGCCCTGCAGGGGACCTTGGCTAGACCATTATTCTCTGGCACTCAGCTTCCCACTGTGCCTGGCAGAAAACAGGCTCTGTGCAGCAGGCAAAGCTGGGTTCCAGCCCAACTCTGATCCCAGCACTGTGTATGACCTCCAGCAACCTCCTGTCCTCTCTGTTCCTCAGTGTCCCCATCTGCACAATGGGCAGAATATGGTGCCCTCTCAGTACCATTCTGGGACCCTCCAAGCCTGGGGCCACCCCACTCACGTCATTGCGGCCGAGCGAGTTCGTGGGCAGGGAGGACGTGATGCCCGAGAGGATGGCGGTGGCGACGATGGCCCCCACACACTGGGCGATGATGTACATGATAGCCCGGAGCATGCTGATCTGGCAGCTGAGCAGCAGCCCCAGCGTGACAGCCGGGTTGAGGTGGGCACCGCTGATGTGGCCCACACTCTGCGCCAGCGTGGCGATGCTCAGCCCAAAAGCCAGTGACACCTTCACGTTATCCTGGACCGCTGTCTGGTTGCTCCCCACCGGGTAGTTGAAGCCCAGGGCAGACCCAATGCTGATGAAGACGAAGAGGATCATGGCCAGGAACTCGGCCACCACTGCCCTCCAGAAGAGCTTCTTCTTGAACTCGCTGGCCATGCTTGCTGGCAGGGGGCTTGGCTCAAGACTGCTGCCTGGTGCTCAATTCCCTCTGAGAGCTGAGCCACAGACCGGGCTGGGCCTATTTATAGGGCTGGGGGGGTGGGGGGAGCACAAAGGGAGGAAGGCCTCTCCTGCTCCTGGCCCGCCCCATGCCGCACGGGCCTCCTCTGGGCGATGGATGCAGACACAGCTCTGCTGTGCGCCTGCCAACTTTTCTCCTTCCTCCTTTCCCCCTCCCTCTCTCTCTCTCCGCCCTCAGCCCTGCCCAGCCAGAAGAGGCAGGCGGGAGGGCAGCCGTTGCTCTAATAGGCTTTGGGAAATTCCTCCAAGCTGGCCCCACTCGGGGGGCCAGAGAAATCCAGGTGTCCCCGCCCTGTGTGCAAAGCTCACAGGGTGCAGGGGACCGGAGCCAGGTGCTCCAGCGAGACAGGCTGGGCATGTTGGGCTCAGTGGGTGGAGGATGCCCTCTCCAGAAGTGAGCACCGTGGTCCTGCCTGTCTGGCATCCCCATCTCACCCGTGGGCCCAGGGGTCCAGAGGGGCAGTCAGGGCCTCCTGCAGCCCAACCTGGCCTGGCCACTGCATGTCACTTGAGGGATGTCCCAGGGCTCCCAGCCCCCTGCCAGGCCTCAGTTGCTGGGGTACGGAGGTGTCAGAAGGTGCAGAGAGCTTGTCTGTGGCCTGCCCTCCATGCTGTAGTCAAAGG